CTAATTAAGGTGATTCTCATTAAACGAGTCTTATCAAAATATTTCATGAATGTTCAGCAAGATAATCTTACATATCTCGAACATTAAAGAGACTATCGATATATCGAAATTCTCTATCGAAAAGTTTACATTTTTTCAGAAAGATTCTGCGAAGCGTGTGCCAAATGATTTCATCATTACCGTGATTCATTTGTGTCCATTTCCATTATTATCACATTTTCTATAAGTAGTGGAGAAGAAATAAATGTGCTCTTCAAAAAATATTAACCAAGCCGTGCGAAGGCTACATAAGGTTATGACTATTTAGCATTTTAAAGAATTTCGATTAACTGATACTAAAACATAAAGTGATTTGGCATTAATCGCAGTTAAAATGACAGTTATGGATTTTTTTGGTTGTGCCTTTTTGGCTTTTGGCCCACCATTAGCTATGTTTACATTTACTGTCGCAGCTGAACCTATTAGAATTATTATACTAATAGCCAGTGCCTTTTTTTGGTTAATTTCTTTATTGTTGTCATCCATACTCTGGTATGCTGTAGTGCCACTACAAAATCATCTTGCATTTGGACTTGTATTTTCTGTATTATTTCAAGAGGCATTCAGGTAATTAAAATTTTAAATTATGATATATTTATATTTTTTATTTTAATTATCTTAAAAGTTATATTTTTCGTTTTTTTGTCATTTTTATACAGGTACCTCTTATACTGGGTACTAAGAAAAGCTGAAAGAGGGTTAGATAAAGTAACAACAACACATGTGGCAGATAGTAGACATGTATTTGCATATGTATGTGGTTTAGGTTTTGGTTTTATGAGTGGTGTTTTTGCACTAGTCAATGTCTTAGCAGATGCTGTTGGACCTGGAACAATGGGACTTCGACAAGGCACAGAGTACTTTTTTGTAATATCAGCAGCCACAACTCTTTGCTTTATCTTGCTGCATACATTTTGGGGTGTTGTATTTTTTTCTGCTCTGGATAGAAAAAATTGGGGACAAGTTATTTGGGTTGTTGGCTCACACTTGTTTGTGTCATGTATGACCTTGTTAAATGTAAAAGAAGCTTATGTAGCTACTACTTTATCTGCCTATGTCATTTTGATGATAACAACTGCACTTGCATTCAAAGTTGCAGGTGGCAGACCTCAAAGTATAGTTCAATGTTTTTCAAGACAGTAAAAGGAAGAATTTTTATAAGAAGATTAAAATATAAATAGTTGTGTTTGACCTAAATGAACATTAGAAAATGACAAATGTTTCTTTCCTTTAGGTATTAGACCACAAAGAGATTGTTCATTGCTCTAATATACACTATGTGTAAAAAGATATGATGTTAAATTAACAGACCATATCTTATTCTTTGATATTAAACAAGCTTATAATGATCAGAAATATATTAATATAAGTCTAAATCATTAAATTCACTTAATGAATTTCTACACTTGACCAAAATAAGTAGGAAAATCTATTAAGTGTGTCAGTATTATTTATTCTTCATATGTAATACTTTACTGCAAATGTAAAAATTTTTTTCAAAAAAGTTATACTAAATGATAATACGTTCTAGCACAGAATTATTTGGTCAAGCTGCTAGTCCGTCCCTTAACCCATCGAAACAATTATATAATCAAAACGCGATAATGTTTCGATCCAAAATATTATGAAAAGAAAAAATAAAGTCTAAAATGAGTGTGAATGTACATATGTAAGAATGTAGGTATACATATATAATGTATATGTGCTATCAAACAAAGAGTAAATTTGTGTATTAATTCACGCCTTACATTTAAAAACAAACTATTTCAAAAAGTTATGAAAATAACGATAATACGTAAGGAATTGTTCAGTAGTTTTTGTATGTATATAAGAGTCATTAATAACTGTAATTTAGGTGTTTAATATACATCTGTATATTTGGCATTGTGTTTCACTTACCATTTCACGATTTATTACTCTTCATATTACATTTCGTATGTCATTCAAATAAAAACCATTTTTGTATAACTAAAAGTATATTTAATTATATAATCCTTGTTCTGAATAATAAATACCACAGGATGAAATAATATAATATGTTTAGGATATGAAAAGAAAACAACAAATTTACTTTCGAAAAGTATGAAGGTTTTAATCATTTTTTCAGTGAGAAAAGAAAAAATTACAAAATAAAATGAATCACAGTCACGAGATATTACTCGAACAAATTCATTTATCATTCAATTATACAATAAAAAAGATATATATTAAACGCAAGATAAAATTTGGATTTTTAATCATGTTTTC